GGCCGGAGGCAGGTCAGCTATGCCCGATACAGAACTGTCCGTCTCGCCCTCATTTGTTCCGTAAACTTGGAAGTTACAGAGCCCATTATTTGAGTTTTCATAAGGACATGTGCGCCATGTATGACTGTCCAAGTTTATTTTGTTGTCAAATTTTCTACAAGAACAATGACATGTATCGTCATATCCATCAGGATCATAAGGATCTTCAGTTTTGTGTTAGGAAGCGTTACACTTCCAACCCGCGATATGTCGATCCCAAGGGCTACCTGATGCCGCTACCAGCCATTCACAAGCAGGCTAGGGACCTAGCTGCAAGCGCAAGGAAACGTTCTTCACAGGAACCATTGTTCACACTTCCAGACAACTCTAACCCTAGGGATGAGAGGTTTCCTCCTGGCGGATATAAACATTAACTTTGTTCATTTAATATATATCATATTTGAAAACGAAAATTTATTGTAAATTTTGTTTTTTTTAAGGGGGGAGGAATGTAGTGATTTAGATTTTTATTTCATAGCCATCATTTCGTAAATAATATTTTACAAGTATTTGCTGATATTTCAGTCAGATTATTCTATTTATCATTTGTTTTCAGTTGTTACTTACGTAAAACCCCTTTATTATGTGTCTGTTATAAGTTAGGACATGTGTTGAAATTCCACATGTTTTACTTTTTAAACAGGAAGTGTCATCCATGTTGGCAGTCTTTCTGTAGTACTTTTGATAGCTGTGTTCTGATTGGTTAACTTAGCTTTAGGATCTTTGATAGTCATTGGTTTTTATTTTGGACCTTGCTAGGGTATTTAAACCCGTGTTCGAGCAGTTTACTTCACTTGGTTAGGGATAAGCCTCATGGCTCATTATCTCTGATTTTATGCCAACCTCAAGGTACACGGAATTATAGGTTTCATTTAGCACGTGCTGAGCGAGCACTTTATGATAGGTTAGATGTAGGTTTTTATAGAATAAAGTTATATGATAGGTTAGGATGTAGGTTATTTAAAGTAAATTAAGTTTCCCTTTCCAAGTCCTGCCTGGTCTAGGGATATGTAGATAACAGGTTTATTTTCTAGAACCACTATTTATTATTTATTTTGGGTGTTGTTTATTTTCTGGGTCAGTTATTTTTAGAACCTAGAATTAGCATTGATATTTTCAGTTCAACTCTAGAGTGTTGATAGTAGTCATATTGGGTGATGTAGCTCATTCCTTTTACACTTTTCTAATTCATTCATTTTATAGGATTTTTGACAACTTTCATAAGTATGGAAGCCCAGTAGGGACATAAATTATTTTTTCATAGTTTTTCCACATTCCTCCCATTTTCTACTACATTTTTCAATTACTTATTTATTTATTGAGATTATTCATTGAGATTATTGTGAATCACCTACCAGATTAAATTACATTTTTGATAAAGCCCTATTAATCCTGTGCAAATTTCAAAGACTTTTCTGTTTGTTAAATTTTGATCATTATTTATTATTTGTTATCATTTACAAAGGTTAATTCTCACTTTATTAAATTTATAAAACTTACAACTGTGTTTTCATTTAGCGTTGATCATAGTTCAGATATCCCCTTACCTGGGTTGACAATCATAACTGGAGGCAGTTTACTGCTTTAAGCCAAGTTGCTATTAACTTTGTTAAGTTATTCATTAAAGAGTTCTACTTCCGGTTAACTCCTTTATTTAACCCAGTAGCAGTTTTGCATGATTCAAAACCCATCAAGATTCTTTTTTTCCCCCCTAAAATTTCCTCTGTTACAGAATACACATGAAAAGATACTTACAAGCAGCTCATACACATATTCAGTTGGGAACTTACTTTCATTATACAATCAACTTAAAAGCACTAAGCATTAATCATGTTAATAGTTACTTCAGGAAAAATATATTTACAGTGTGTTTTAAGTTGAAGAAAAAAAATCATTGAAACTGTGTATTGCAATTTGAAGAATCAGATGATTAGAAAAAGAGAACATTGTATATGATTTTATGTAATATGTGTAGGGGATACTACCAATTAGATAAACCTATGCTTTATCCATGAGTATACTTCATCAATAGCACTTCCAGTTTTGACACAGTCCCTTGCTTCAAGATGTAAATTTATTGAAACTTCTAATTGTGAAAATTCTTGTGTTATGAAATAAATAACAAGGAGCAAAACTAATGTTCATTAAAACAAGAAAAAGATTGATTCAATATACATCAATGAAAAGTAAATTTAAATGGCTACTGCAATGATGTAATATGTTACCATATTCCCCCCTCCTTCCCCCTCCCCCCCCCCCCCCCTCAAGAAAAATTGTTTTCATAGGCAACATTAGGCCCAGCAGATAAGTTGCTTTTGACCATGCAGGAAAGTCTAGCTACTTTCAACAATGCTTTCTTAGATTATACTATAAGCATATGTAACGGGAGAGGAGAATAATGCAGCGGACCAGACCGGGATTCAAACCCAGGCACCCTGAATCTCCAGTCAGGTGCTCAACCAACTGAGCTATCTGGCCACCAGCGATCGAACCTGTCTGACCGCCACATTCCTCCCTCCTTAAAGGTCTTTGGTCCCCCAAAGACTCCAACCCAGGCTCTTCCCTGGCAGGTATTTCACCTGTCACTTCCAGGGCATGGCATGGCACCAAATGTAACGGGATAGGAGAAAAATGCAGCGGACCAGATCGAGATTCGAACCCGGGCCCCCTGAATCTCCAGTCAGGTGCTCTACCAACAGAGCTATCTGGCCACTGGCGATCGAACCCGTCTGACCGCCACACATATAAGTTACCATAGATCTACGAGTAGGCTAGCATTATCACCATACACAAAATCAGAGCAGAATTCATGAATCCTCGGTCCTTCTTATAGTACTTATTACAACTTCCAGTCAAAAGTTTGTATGAAATAAATCTCCAACAGATTGTCACATATGTTTAAAATCATTACAAGATTTCATATTTTGTTTCTGCAAATAACTTTCTTTCCACATGTCAATGTCAACAGGATGACATCATCAGATCTCAAAGTTTTGTTAAAAGCTTAATATCATATGAGATAAATACAACATCTTTGTTTGTGTGATTTTATATCTGCTTTATAAAACTCATTGAAATGGTGTATAGTCACTCAGCAAGCCTTGGAATACACATGATATCTACTCACTCAGAGTTGTGGAAAACTTTTTCAAATAGCCAGTCACTGGCAAGAAGACAAAATAAGCCGGTCCATAGGGATTTTTGCCTGTCCGAAATAGAAAGTCCCAAAAATTTTTAAAAAGGCAAAACATTTACTTACTTCATTATATCTATTTACTTAATAATATAACATTCAGTCTCCATTTCCAAGTCCTCTTCCATTTTTGTTTTTTTGCATAAATTTATAACAATACTAGATTTCACCGCTTTTGGGCAGGTGACAATGCTAATTCAGCATAGTAAACGTAATTTTTTTTGTAAACACTTATGAATTTGGGAATTATATTAACCTAGAAAATGAGACTAGAAAATTTTAGAAATTCTGTGCATAGATAAAAGATCTCAGAACGATCGATGATGATTGATTGATTGTTGTTTTATGCTGAGTCGGCAATATTTCAGCCATATTTTGGCGGAAAAAAATGATCAATGAAAAAACCAAATCCAAGACAGTCGGAAGTACTAGATTTACCACTTTTCCCAACTGTGTTTGAATTCTTTCTGTCGAAATTTTTCTGTTTCTTTATGTTTTCTACCTAATTCTGCCCCAGCTGTAAATTTAATAGGTCATGAGACCATCCTGGTTTCGCTTTCATTTATAGCCTGGATCATGTATAGAAAAAGTATTACGCAATCGCATATAAGGTACCATTATTAAGCTAGGAAGTGCGCCGAAGAGAAATGGAAAAGCAAAAAAAAAACTTTAACTAAAAAAAAAAGAAAAAAAGGGGCCAGTCATTTGGACCGACATCGATAGCATTTTTACCGGTCACACGCATTTTTTGTCGGTTTTGCCGGCATGACCGGCAGTTTTCCACAACTCTGCTCACTAGATAAAGCAAATTTATGTACAATCACACAACCTGTTCAAAGTAAAATTATTAATAGTGAACTCAATAGACTAACTTGTATGAACAGAGAAATTTGAATTAAAATCTGCATATTCGTCAAGCAAATTTTCATGTGAAACCTTCCCAGAATTCCTTTGCTACCAGGATTCCATGCAACAATCAGGAATAAGCAGTCCAACAGTAATCATGTATTAAGATTTAGTTCTTGCAGAGAGCTTAAACGAAACAAAAAATAATTGCATCTACTATATCTCTTTTGTTACAAAATTGCAAAAGGCTATTTACACTCAATTACAGAAATGCTACTTACATACGATGGCATGTGACGTCACAGTCTAGACTGTCTCATGTGGTTTGAAGAGGCGGATAAAGTTTAAATTGTATGCTATGTAAAGTTTTTTTTTTATGATATACAACTGCTCTCGCCCGAACGGTACGTGGCACCATAAAACATATCAATAAGCTTGTTCATTTCTTTAAAATCATTTTTCTATAACAAACCATAACGATGGATTTTTTTTTAGGTCTTATTAAACATCAAAGTGAGAATACCCAAGATTCATCCCCCCAACCTGGCCCCATCCCCCTAAAAAGGAAAAATCTCAGTATCATAAGATATATGAATTTAAAGAAAAAATTCGGTCTGGTATGTAAATGCTTTGTCTGGTAAAATATATTTTAATTGTTATTACCTGACCTTATGTCCTGAAAAAAATTTACACGTTCGCATATATTGCTCTGGGAAAATCTTAATATTGTTTAATAAGGGTTACTGAAATTAACATATAAATCGAAGGCTGGTGTTTTCAAAACATTAAAACATTTATTTGATTCAAACTGACAAAGCAAGTAACCTGTAAAAACCGAATTTCCTCGATACAACCTTGATATCTGAAAAAGATCAAAACATTTCAACGAGAAGTTGCAGTCAAAAATACAATTTCGACATACCTTTCGTTTTGTGCACGCTCTGCAAGTAAAAGGAGTAAGCTAATAGCATTGAAAAATGGAAAACGAGCTATAAAAAATTCCGGCATTTTCCTCAACAGTTGTGACGACGCCATTTTCCTTGGGATCATCAAAATGTTTTATATCATTAACTTGTACAGGAAAAACTCTTGTGCATGTTTCCCGGGCAAGAAGTGGAAGAAAGGGAAGAGAACTGAAGATGGGAAAATGTGTTGCAAGAAAAAAGGGAAACAAAGGACGAGAGGGTAAAAGGGGAAGGGGTGGGTGTTTAGGGATGGGACGTATAGGAAGGGAAGCACTGGCGGATTTAGAGTGGCGTGAGGGCACCCCCCTCCCACCCACCCCCAAGTTTCCAAAAACTCAGGTTACATATGTATAAATATAATGGAAAACTGTCAAAATATTAAATTTTGCATATCATAATATGTTGAAATAAATAATTTTATAAAATTCAAGACTTGGCACTCTTGCAAAATCAGCATTACAATTCAATCAATATCACGGGAGAAATGATTTCCATTTCCACAATACAGTCTTGCCATCAGTTTCTTGATACAAAAAAGTTAACAAAATTTCCCACTGAAGATGTCACTTTAATATTTGTCTCGGAAATTCTTTTTAATGCCTTCTGGGTTCACAAACATCGGAATGTGAAGAAAGATGAAATTTTTATCGTTTGATTCTATTTCCTTCAGTTATCAATTTGAATATACAAATCAATGATGACCTCAGTATTTTTAACTTTCTCATGTAAGAACTTTTCATTGTTTATTACCATCATCTTATAGATTGATAAAAACTAAGTTTTGGAAATGTTGCAATTATTTTATTAGCGTGATTCAGCTACTTTCAGCTATTATGCTACTTTCAGGTAGGTATCATTTGCCTCTTTCACAATGACAGTTGATTGTAGTTTTAGTTCATACATTTGGAGTAAATTTTTTGAAGTCCCCTATATAAATATATAATGCCAAATGGTCACTAAATATATTGAAGAAAAGACACAAAATTAGGAAATTTATCCATGTTGAATGCACTTGTATCACTGAGATGCACATATAGTAAAATTATATTTTATTGTGAATACATTATCTTTTAAAATATTTTTTAAAAATCTTTTTTGAAAGTTATTTCTTTGCTTTTGTTTAAAATATGACTCGCTAGAAGTGAAAGATTATTCAATTACACATTAATTGAAATAATAACATATGCTATTACTGCAGTGACTTTAGTCCTTGTTTAACTATAAAACTTTCTTGTGGTAAACAGGAAGTTAATATAAATGCTGTTCCGAAACTCGCTTTACCAAATACTACAACATGATCACATCTACTTACAGCTTCGTATACTGCAGCCAAAACATCTTAACTTAGGATTGAGTGAAACGGAAATTCACACTTCAGACTGCTTTTTATTTTCTAGTGAACACAGTATCATTCATTATAACTGCTGTTGAAATTAAGGATGCTTGGTAAAACAGTTTTGGTTACAATTTTCCTGGCATCAATTTCTGTGACTTTTGCGAGTACCGTTGACCGCATTTCTGATTCTGACGAAATATACAGAAGGTTCGATAATCTAGAGAGAAGAATCCAGACATTGGAGTCTGAAAACAAACTGCTACGGGGAGAACTTGAGAAACAAAATGTTTCTCTCGGTACTCTGAAAAGCGACCTTGCTACACAATATGGCAACCTTGACCTATCACAAAGAACACTGAAGCAGGATATCAAGAACCAATATATCCTGTTGTTGAAAACCCAGAACGAAGTAAAAACAAATTATACCGAACTCCGTTTCAAGATAGACACAGATGTCCGAGAAATCAGGGACTCGTTGGCCGTGACTAATGAAACATTGCAAACTGTCACGGATTTCCAAGGCAAAAAGCTCATTCAGCTGGAAGGGACACTTGAATCATTAAAGAATGATGTCCGTAATGTCAATAGCAGAACTGGTAAGAATTACTACTTCTCGTATGTAAGTTTGAAAAATTATGACACGTCGATTTTTCATAACAAAGTTTGAGCTAAACAGAGGATGTGTGGTTAATTGCTTGTTTATTTTATTTTTTTTTATTTGAGTAGCCTATATTTTATAAACTTGAAACATTGACTTAGTTTGTAAAACGCCATAATTGTTTTATTTTTTCTTCATTACTTTGAACATACCATGAACGTTATACACATAGCATATTGCGTCTATCTTTTACTTTAGGAGAGACCCCTCCATCATTTTATGCTTTGCTGACCTCCACCGTTCCAATTCGAGGATCAAACCAAACCATTATTTACGACAAAACAGGAACAAACAACGGTAATGCGTACAACACGTCTACTGGTATCTTCACCGTGCCGGAAACAGGAACGTACGTCTTCACCTGGACCGCCTTCAGTTACGTCGAAGAGTACGTGCGTCTCGAAATCGTTGTTGCGGGAACAATATATGGCGGGACTCTAAGCGACACACAGGAAACAGGTGATGCAGATACGGAAACAGCCATCGTTGTGGCCAATGCAAAAGTCGGGGATGAAGTATTCATTCGCACTCAGAGCCGGGGTCCAGGAGATGGCCGCTTGTATGTGGAATTTGAGTGTACATCGACATTCTCCGGCTGGAAGATTTCTTAATTGTCGAGTTAGAGCTATGTACATAGTCGATTTCAAGCTTCCAAGCTTTCAAGCTTTATCTGAGGAGTCAACAAATGTGTTGAAATGATGAATTGATTATAATTTCAAGGCTATGAACTGGATAAAAACAATATACTATTAATATTTAGTAATCTTTGTAATGTACAGGACTTCTGAAATCTTATATGATCCAGTTTTTGCTTAAGTTTGCTGACCCCATTTTTAAGTGACTACACTACAAGTGTTCTTGAGTGTTGGAGTTCTCTTCTTGTAAGGGTCTAACAATTGTTTGTGTGTTTTCATTTCTTTCCACTTTCATTGAAAAGAAAATTCCTTGTAAAATATTTGACGTGTTGTGTTTTCACAGATTGTCAATCCAATTTTTTTAACGAGAATTACCTAGGCAACAGGCCTGTATCAACGGGGGGGGGGGGGGGGGGGGGTAATTAATTTTGCTAATATATACATTGTAATTTATTAGAGAAAACAAGGCTACTTTATAGATGTGCCCCCTTAATAATTATACGTATGAGGATTTTTTTTTAATTTGCATGTCAAGGAATTTTTGTTTGGTAATATTCCCCCCCCAACTGAAACTGTTTGCCCCTCCCAACTGAAACTGCTTCCTATCTAGATCTAGTATCCTATTCAGAGCATAGAAAAGAAAGAAGATAGACACCCATAGTAAAGCGGGTAAAATCAATGCCTTTAGAAAACTTACGGTGCATTGACCGAGAATTTCGGAACCTCCAAAGAAGGATAGAACTGAAATTTTAGAACATGGTTAAGTGGTCAGCGAAAAGAAAGATTATGAAGTTGAACTTTTAATTAATATTTTTCTAATTGAATATCATTTTTGTGAGGAATAGGTTTTCCTGGTGGTCAGTTACACTATTATACAGCTTTGCGCGTTTTTAATATGTCAAATACTATAAATACTTATAGTTGACAAATAACTTTATACGATAAAGGCATATCCCAGCCCTCCCAAAAGTCAAATTTTGAAAATTTCTTGAAAAGTGCAAATTTTATATATTTTATGGAAATCCAGCTTACACTAACAGTTTACTTTCTAAGGATGAAATTCTTCAAAATCACATTTCAGTGTTTAAATAATTAGCATTCCAGCCATCCAAGGTGAATTTGATCTACTTTATCTATACTGGATTCCAAAGTTTCATTAATATTCTTACAAACAAAGATACATTACTCCTTACAAAAATATTAACTGCTGTAAAGGAAAAAACTTCAGACGTTCTGTGCTACAGTATATTCTAGAAGCGGTGTAAATCAAATGTAAATTCTCAAAAACTCCAACTTGAAAACTTTTTAGAAATTTAAAATCACCAAACAAAAGTCAGTAACATTAAAACGTACTACTTTTCTGCACTTTATATAACCATTCCCCACGATAAATTAAAATACATAGGCTTTCTGATATCGTAGACAATTGTTTCTTCAAGGAAAATGGAACTTGGAAATTTTCAAATCTTGTGAAATGGAAATGGATCGCAATTTCTTTTAATTTTTTGAAATTAAAAAAACGGATCAAAACCCTTGCACAATTAACGGAGTTCTCGTCCTTTGAAAGTGCCTATTTTAAATCCAATCCAGCGCATATCGAAGCGATTAAAAACGAGATTGTACTGGCGTGACGTCACTACATGGACCAAATAAGCGGGTCAATATAGTTGTCAATGGATTAACTCCGATAACAACGTCGATATGTCGCAATTTGTTGAGTTTTGACGAATCGGACTTAATAAATGTGGACCTTGGCATCCAGTGTTGCAGTCAAAAACCGATTTTTATGAGTAACTGAGATTCCAAATTGGCCAGAGCCTGCCCAGTAAAAGCTAGGGTCAAGTGGAATCAAATAAATGAAATGTCCAATATTCACCAACACAGGATGAACCTACACCAGTCAGTTAACTGAATGTTCACTGAAAGGACTTGAAAAGTCGCTGAATGGCAGAACTCCTACATTCATTAACCCTTCAGCAGACTTTCAGTCACCTTTTACTTAACTGAATGGCAGAGTTTCATCATCATCATGTGCAACACGCACAAAAATACACACATTGAATCCTAAAATATTTTCATGGATAAGTTTGTAAACTAATATCCTTTTTCAGATACCGGCAAGAATTTCACTTCAAGACAGCTACCAAACCTATCTGTTGTACGTAAAGGTCTATTTCCTAAAATAAGACACTATAATTAATTATAACTGGAATACAGCAGGTATATAATGATATACAGTATTGTGATTGTTCATCAACAATATTACTTTGTTAAAAATCACTCTGATTAAAAACACAAGTACTATAAAGTTGATATTAAAAGGATGCTGGATTGATAACATTTATCTACTCTTCGGAGACCAAGCCCCAAGACCATAAACTGAGAACAGACATAAGTCAAAATTTTGATTTTTAATATCTTGAGTTTTATTCAATGTAATTGCTGAAAAAATTGCAATTTCATATAACATTTAAATTCAAACATATGAAGAAAATTTTGTTACATTGTCAGTTTATGGTCTTCTAACAAACTGCACTAGCGCTTCATGAAATATTCCAGTGAAAAGACGAATAATGACCCCCATAGAATAATGTCCGGGCTTATTTTTTGACGTCGAAAAATGACTCCCGGTCATTTATCCACGTCGAAAAATATTTCTCGGTCAATATTCGACAGCGAAAAATGACCCTTTTGCCTGTAGAAAGAGTGGCATCACCCTTAAAATCCTCATACATTTTCGTACCCAACGTAAAGTAGAATAATGATTCCTTGTACATTTTGTTAGGGATAAATGCTTTTCTTTTTTTTTTTTTCCTTTTTTTTTTTTGGTTAAAAAGAGTAAAAATTATAAATCAACAGGCCCGTTGACCAAAATGCTCATCTGAGGTATTATTAAGATGAGGATAAAGGGATTATAGGTTGGCATCATTAAATTTTTCGAACAAAATGACCTGTATTTATTATGATAAATCGGCAACATAAATCGACTTCAATCTACATTATTTGAAAAAAAAAATCCTATTTTGATTTGGCAAATGTACATGTATTACATGTATTGTTTTTTTTTCCTTTGATTTTCCCATACACTTCTTTTTAATGTCTCTCTACCGATTAATAAAGTTGCATTTGAGTGCATGTATTTTAAAGTCAATTATTTTAACAGTGTAAACGCAAGTAATTTTCGGAGATAGAGCAAAAGTATCTTACAATTTAAATAAGAATTGTGTGATGTTTTAGATACTTTTGGTACATTTTCATTAAAACTGAAAGAACAAGCATTAATAAACTATTCATTGTATATGGCAAACAAAAGTGAATATGCAAGCAATTTTAACCTAAACTGTAAGTAAAACTTCCAAGCCCCGGGAACATGAAACATCTTTGCTTATTATCTCGGGCTTTAAGTCAAAATCTTTATGTTGTACTAAAATGTTGAAGAAGTAAAGCGGACAAAAATTAAAATATTTGTCAATATTGTTTCACAACTGTGTTGTTATCTGCAAATTTAGAGTTTAATTCAATAATCAAGAAACATTTTACAGGTGATAAAAAATATCCTAAGTCTAGGTCTGTTTCATGATACTGGGGTCAGGAAACCCCAAAAACCACAAACAGATGAAGCCAATAAAAAAAACTTGACCATGTAGATATCCATATCTCATCCCCAAAGTGCATACAAGCCATGTGCTTTACACATTGTACTATCTTTGATTTTCTGGATATTCTCCTTTATCAGAGGAATAAATTGTAAAGAAGAAAGTTAACATCAAATCTGTCTGAACAAATATCCAGTATGTAATTTGCTAAGTTGTCCAAGTAAATAAACAGTTAGCCGGAACATTTCCGATCAAAAACATTTGAATCTATGTTCTTCTAAGTGTATTTAAGAAGAACTTATTTGTCCATGCATATCTTGTTCGTCCGAACGAAGAACAAACATGATGCTCGAATTTCTGATCAACAATATCTATGTGGTGTTTGGAGACCAGGTCTTCCAACAATCTATTGGAATTCCCATGGGTACCAATTGAGCCCCGTTATTAGCAGACCTATTTTTGTATTCATATGAAGCAGAATTTGTTCAAAATCTATTACGTGAAAAGAAGAAAACGCTTGCTGTGGCCTTCAACTCGACATTTAGATATATCGACGACGTATTGTCAATTAACAATGGTTATTTCCATTCTTATGTCAACACGATATATCCCGGTGAGCTTTAGATAAAAGACACCACAGAGTCTGAAACATCTGTTTCATATTTGGATATTTTATTAGAAAAAGACGTCAATGGTAATCTAACAACAAAGCTTTATGATAAACGTGATGACTTTAACTTTGCAATCGTCAACTTTCAGCAATATACTCTTATCACCTGCATACGGGGTTTATATCTCTCAATTGATTCGATACGCCAGAGCATGCTCTACGTATAAACAATTTCTAAAACGAGGCAAGTATTGAACAACAAGTTAATGAAACAAGAATATCAGCAGTTCTCGTTTAAGGTCATCATTTCCTAAGTTCTACGGTCAATACAATGACCTTGTCAGCAAATACAATCTTTCATTAAGACAAATGCTGACTGATTTTTTTTTCATACTAATTGTTAGGCCATTATTTACATACTGAATTGTCGACGGATTTTCCCGTTATTTCCTGATCATGACAAGGAGCACACAGCGGTTGTGACCGGTCGGCAGGGGATGCTCACTCCTCCGTGGCACCTGATTTCACCTCTGATGTCTTAGAGGTCCGTGTTTGCTCTGCTCCTATTTTGTAACGTTTAATGGACTTTTAAGCTCGAATATTGTTCGTTATCTCCACATTTTTCGTTGTTAAAACTATAATTTTCTTTGTCAGAACATGACTGTATCAAATTTGTCCGAACAATGATATTTTTTTCTGGGCTTCAGCATTCCGTATTTATATAACTTAATCAACTTCATGATTTTTTGCAAATTTGTTTAAGTTATTAAAATTCTAAAATTACAAAATGTTTATTATTAGTAGTAACATTAGAAAATTAAAAATTTAGTAATGGAAAAGTAAATGTATTTTCTAACAAGGTCATTATAATGACACAGGAATTTTATGAAATGCTGACGTTGACTGAGACTGTTGAAAGCCCTGAAAATTCATTTTATTTTTCAGTATCCTACATGTACGTCTGTTTAGAAAATGATCGTACTCAGAGCGTGCTCTAGCGCATAAGTTAGGAGACAAACGCCATATGCAGGCAATAATGGAATATTACTACATAAGTACATGCATATATAACAAGATGGTGATGGAAAAGCCATTTCGAATTTTCTTCTATTTATGATGACCGGTTTTCCTGTCCAATAAAGTGTGAAATTATTTACGTGTTCCATCGTATCGTTAAGTTCTCGAGAAATTTGCAGAAAATGACGTCATAAATCATAATGTAAAATGTAAACTTTCCTAATTAACTGAGAGGTATCTATAGATAACCAGTTTTCTTCCGGTTAACTCATAAAATCTATTCATTATATAACTACCAAAGTGCAGTATGTATGACTGTTAAGGAAATTATAACGTCGGGTATTGAAATGGGTGTACGTATTTTAAAGTGCAGATACCATGTAATGTACTTCAGGATACGAATACTCTCCTAACCCTTGCCTACTAAACTGTCCACAAATGCAAGAGTCAGCAAGACTATTATATAAGACTTCTAATTCTTTTTTTCTTTTTAATTGTGAGGCATGGAACGTTTTATTAGTTGTCAAACCGGCAAAAAAAAAAAAAAAAAAAAAAAAAAAAAAAAAAAAAAAAACCAAAAAACAAAAACAAAAAAAAGAAGCAAGGAAGTTATTAAAGTCTAAGTCATTTGCAATTACAAAGCTCTAGAAAATCATCATAGCCTCTTCTTGATATAAGCATGCCTCATCTTAATTTTAAGGAACTCTTTAAAAGTCTTTTAAAATGTTTCATTTTCCCTTTAAATGTTGGGCTGAGTAGAGTATCACTCTTTTATAAGCACGAACTTTATGTGAAACAGACATGGCTGATATCAAAGTCAGTTTTGTTATTTTTCTTGCACATATTTCTATGACTTGTACTTACAACACTGAGCAAAGTTTAGAAGAAATATTTCAGCAACTAGATGTATTAGCTAAAAAAGTTGTAACTTTGGAATCGAAAAACGAACTATTACAAGAGGAACTAAATCGACAAAATGGTTCACTTCAAGAATTTAAAACCAAGCTTGTTGGAGATTACTCCGATCTTGGAAGGAAACAACAACTACTGAAACAGGAGTTAAAAGGAATGAAATATAAAGATTTTGAAACAATCAAGAATGATGTCAAAGAAATTAGAGATTCGCTGAAATTGACCAACGTGACACTGCAGAATAGAGCTGATATTCAAGAAGGGAAAATCAAAACATTGGAGACCATACAGAACAACGTCAGCATTCTTAGTAGTAAACTTGGTAAGAATATAATCTACTCTATAAAGAAAAATTTGTTCAGGCTATAATCATAGTGATAATGTTGTGATTGGGTGAATTAAAAAAAAATGACGTAACACATTTATCAACCTGCACTAAAAATACAGACAATGCGAATAAATTTCTTTGTCTCAGCATATGTTTTTGTGGTGTTATTTTCACTATTCTACTTTAAAAAACCCCATTCTCTTGGACAGGAGTGCAACAAATATGATGTTAGAATTATTGCTGATCAAATATGAATAAATATAAAGAAAAAAAAATGATGAGTACAATGTTTCTGGTTGACCTCAGATGCTTACAGTGTTTGTCCTGTGAAGGAGAATATACTAGAAAATATACTTTTATCTTCTAAATAGATTTTGAACTAGGTTTTTTTAGACATAAATAGAGAATAATTCAAGATATAAACCCAAGTTTAAATACTTTCATGTGTTTTAATTGTGAGGTATTGGACAATAAATATTGCACAATTTCGTTACCACTTGATGTTGCCAACACTTTTTATAACTTTTAATTTTACTGCAGTCAGGAGTGCAACAAATCCGTTTTATAATTATCAATACTCTTTATCTATCTTCTCTAAAAGATAAATTGAAAAAAAAAATGTTTGATATTATTTGATGTTCAAAACATTATGTCTATCAACTAATTAGAGACATTTTACAGTCAACTTAGAGAAAAGTTTTCATCACTTACAGTAATACATATTTTTAAATACAACGTATATATATTACACATTGCAAATAATCATGTTTTGAAATATTGAAAATATGAAAAACTTGCCATTAATTATAAAAAATATCAAAACGAGAACCAATTTACGAACTAAGAATGGGTTATCGTGTGTTATAATTTTTAAAACAGTACTAAATAAAATACATATTAAATGTCAGGAGTGCAAAACAATAATGTAAAATAGGGTTACTTCAAAATCTAGTATTTTTGAAAGAAAACCTGTATATCAAAATTCTTTCTTGGCTTAGATTTAAAGAATTGACTTAAATGGACAAAAAAGTGACTGGGGGATTTTTATTGTTTCATATTTCTTTCGTATTAAAACTTTTCAAACCAGAATTGAAAAAGTAATGTAGAATGACAATCAAAAAGCCAATTTCTTTCACATCCACAAGAGAATAAGCTCAATCAAGGTTTAGATCTAATCATTTATATCCCTGATACCATTTTGAATCATAACAAACTAAAATTGCTTCCGATTATGTATTTAGAAAGTCTTTTAGGATGTAGTGATATTTTCTTTTTTCAAAATAAAATTTTACTGATAAAAAAATCTGGAATTGTTTTATCCAATTGTCTTTTCTATTGCAACATCAGGAATTTTAACTAGAATGCATGTGCAATATGTTGATATAAGTGAAAAATATGTTATGGGTAGGTCAATTTGGTGGTCATTATTTTTTAATTTACCCCATTCAAGAGTCTTTATTTATGTCCAATAGATATTGTACGTATTTTTAGTCCTGGAATTTCTAATATTTCATTTTATGTACATTGTTATACATGTATACACTAGCTGAAAAAAAATGCTGTAGCTCAGACTTTTCAAAATTTTTCTATGTTAATGCTTACGTGTACATGTATACAAGTTGAACTTCTCAGTACTGTAAACGTTATACATTTGGCGGTGGATTATACTTAGCGCCTATAGCGGAAAGCAACTTCCGCTAAATCAAGCACATCGCTAAATGTCTTGTATGGATATATTTATATCTAGCTCGTTCAGAAAGCACTGAATCAAATCTTCGCTAACCTGTTGTAAAATCTATGTTTTATTTTATGGACATTGTTAAATATACTAGCTGAAAAAATTGTTGTAGCTGAGAGTTTTCCAAATGTTTCGTTAATGCTTGCCTGTTACATACAAGATTAATTTCTCAGTACTTCAAGTATAAAGTTATTAAAGATCTTCAAATTAGCTAATTTTTTTAACGGTTAAACATGCAATTACATACGCTTACAAATCATTACTTACTTTACCAATTTGCCAGCATTTTACTGAATTGAAATTCTGCTTAATCTTACAACCTTAATCTTATACTAATATCTGATATTTCATTAAATGACCTTGCTACCTGTTACAGACAGAAATTTTATGACTTGTTTTCAAATTAATTTTAGGCACATATGTTAAAAAAAAGGAAAAGTGAAAAAGGAATTAGATAGATTACCCAATCAGTATGTACTGGTCCCAGTTGACAAAGCTGGTAACAACACAGTCTCTGTTTGTAAGGCTCATTATTTGAATTGTATTTTAGAGGAACTAGGATTTAATTCTACAGGTGAAATTCCAACTTTCACCCATAGATCCCTTTCTAAGGAGGAAATTCTTCAAATTCAAAATCATATGTCCGTTTTAGATATTTTAATATTCCCAGCAATCAAAATGAATTTGAATTACCATACCTTTACTGGATTCCTAAACTTCATAAAAATCCTTACAAACAAAGATACACAGCGGGTTCCAGTAAATGTTCTACCAAGCCTCTTTCTTTACTCCTCACTAAAATATTTACTGTAATGAAGGAGAAACTTCAGGAGTACTGTACAACAGTTTATTCGAGAAGTGGTGTTAATCAGATGTGGATACTTAAAAACTCGAAAGAACTTTTGGAAAATTTGAAATCACAAAATTTTATTAAAATTAATAGCATCAGAACGTACGACTTTTCAACACTTTATACAACCATTCCCCACGATAAATTAAACCTTGTCATTGGTCATTTACAAAATTACTTTGTTAAAAAACACTCTGATTGTACACACAAGTACTCTGAGGTTGATATCAAAAAGATGCTTGAGTTTCTGATTGACAATATCTATGTAGTTTTTTTGGAGATCAAGTCTTCCAACATTTTTTTAGAATTTCCATGGGTACCAATTGCGCCCCCTTATTAGCAGACCTATTTTTGTATTCATATGAAGCAGAGTTTATTCAAAAACTTCTACATGAGAAGAAGAAAACACTTGTTGTGGCCTTCAACTCGACATTACGATATATCGACGACGTATTATCAATTAACAATAGTTACTTTCATTCATATGTCAACTCGATATACATGTATCCTAGTGAGCTTGAAATAAAAGTAGGGATGTCAATTTTACTCGAACAGCTTAGTTGAATAGTTGGAGGCTTTAGTCGAATGATAGTCGAGTACTCGTTTAAATTTAAATTAATTTTCCATGTCATTTTTCCTATTTGTCTTTAACAGACTGCTAGCCTATACAATATTTAATCTACGCTATCACCATCATACAGCGAATTATTGAATTGTTAACATATAAGAAGTAATAAATATATGTATCCAATGTATTTGATTTCAAATATAATATTTACTGCACATTTTATCTATATACAGAATATCAAACGCTCGCATTTATCCTTTCTCCTCATACTGCTAGTACATGTACCCGTTATTGATTTCTTACCTGAAGCCATTTCAATGTATCTTGTCAGTGACCCGTGATTGTTAAACTATTAATGTGTAACTTCTATAAAAACAAAGACAGCTCAGTTCGATAAATTTTAATTATGAGATTTTTTGCAAACAATCAATACAATTTTAAAATGATTGATATTAATTACGCTTATAACTGTCCCCCACTTTACTTGTATTCACAAATATGTAACAGCTATTTAATTATTCTTCATTAATTGATAGTTGCATTATACGAGATCTTACGAACTTTACAATTTGGATCTGACATCTTTCAAAGTATGCCAATGCATGTTTGCCGAACAAAAAAATCTTTTGAACAATTAACGAATACCGGTTAAGCCTTTCACAGTGACTGAGTTTTACTCACGCCAACACTGAACACTGATACGTTTTACCTCGAATTTCAGATTAATATTAATTAGCAAATTTTTAACGAATAACTGACTAAAAAAATTTAGTCGATAGTCTGTATGATCGAACGATAGTCGAGTACTCGAATATTTGTTGACATCCCTAAATAAAAGATACCATAGATTCTGACACATCTGTTTCCTATTTAGATATTTCACTAGAAAAAGACGTTAATGGTAACCTAACAACCAAGCTTTATGATAAACGTGATGACTTCAACTTTTCAATCGTCAACTTCCTTTACTTATGTAGCAATATACCCTTATCACGTGCATATGGGGTTTATATCTCTCAGTTGATTCGATACGCAAGGGCATGCTCTACGTATGAAAAATTTCTAAAAAGAGCTACTGACAAACAAGTTGATGAAACAAGAATATCAACAGTCTCGTTTGAAGTCATCATTTTTGCAAAGTTTTACGGTCGATACAATGACCTTGTCAGCACATACATCCTATCATTGCGTCATGCTGACTGACGTTTTTCATACTAATTATTAGGCCATTATATATACACTGAACTGTCTACAGATTTCCCCGGATTTCTATTTTCCGATCATGACAAGGAGCACACGGCGGTTGTGACCGGTCGGCATTGGATGCTCACTCCTCCATGGCACCTGATCCCACCTCTAAATTTTGAGGTCCATGTTTGCTCTGCTCCAAATTTGTATTGTTTCATTGGACTTTCGAGATTGAATACTGTTCGTTATCTTCATATTTCATGTACTTATTGGGAGGAAAATCTAGATGTCTATTAAGTTTAACAATGCCATATTTTACGAAAAGCTACCCGATTATTCTGATAAACATAAAAAATAACTAAATGATCAGGAACTTTTTCTATAATGGTGAAGAAGATAAATCTTTCTTGAGTTGTACCTCAGAGTTTACCTTAACACTAAGTTCGGGAGGTATATTTGGAAGTTTCCTCTTTGCCAAATTTGTTTGTCAGTCAATAAGATTGAGCATTTTAAAACCTGTATCGTTGGAAATGTTATCATGTTTTTCACTTTAACTGTTGAAATATCGTTATGATGTGTTGTAACACAATACATTGTATTATACGCATTTGAATATTTTCACGTCTAGATCTACAATTTGAAAATATAAAATTCCTGAGTATTTGATAAAGAAGTTTTCGGTCTACTCGTGACTGTACAGACCTGGTAAGGCATTGCATAATCCCAGCCTTCAGGCCTTGATCAATCAATACTTGACCAGGTCAGTAAAATCAGTAGACACTAGTAGATCGAGCGATCGTGATTATACGGACCTGGTCAGGTATTGGTTGTTCGGTCAACCAATACTTGACCAAGTCACAAGCAGGTCTCATCAATAGTGAATAATTGTGTAGAGTAGTGTGGCATTCTATTTCTGACTTCAGGGGAAGCCCCTCCATCATTTTATGCAATGCTGACCTCCACCGTTCCAATTCGAGGATCAAACCAAACCATTATTTACGACAAAACAGGAACAAACAACGGTAATGCGTACAACACGTCTACTGGTATCTTCACCGTGCCGGAAACAGGAACGTATGTCTTCACCTGGACCGCCTTCAGTTACGTCGAAGAGTACGTGCGTCTAGAAATCGTTGTTGGGGGAACAATTTATGGCGGAACTCTGAGCGACACACAGGAGACAAGCGATGCAGATACAGAAACAGCCATCGTTGTCGTCAACGCAAACGCCGGAGACGAAGTATTCATCCGCAGTCAGAGTGAGGACCCCGGCCATGGCCACTTGTACGTGGAGCATGAGTGTACGTCGACTTTCTCCGGATGGAAAATTTCCTAAGACCTACACTCGTGATTTATTACGCTACCATAGAGCTGTGTACTCGTATATAAATATTAACTTTTGGTAGTTTGTATCTCTTTGATAAACTTTACTGTAATAAGCATATTAATTGTCAATAATTACAGGCTAACCAAGTATGCTGAATAATGCTTACAAAAGAATCATTGATAAGAAACTGAATTTATGATAATTCGACTTGTCAGAAATACTGTTATGGATGTTATATTATTTCCTTGCAGAGAACGTCCCACAATGTTTCATAAAAACTGAATGCCGTTCTTATCTGTCATTTTTTGAGGTTGAACTGTTGTATAGATGAACATCAGAATGTTATAAAGATGATTTAATTCAGTTCTTTAGATGCCTAACAACCAAGCTTTATGATAAACGTGATGACTTCTGGATCAAACTTCCCTTAACTTATGTAGCGATATACCCTTATCACCTGCATATGAGGTTTTATATATGCCTCTCAGTTGATTCGATACGCAAGAGCATGCTCTACGTACGAACAATTTTTAAAACGAGTCAAGCTATTGACAAACAAGTTGATGAAACAAAAATATCAACAGTCTCGTTTAAAGTCATCATTTGGCAAGTTCTATATATGGTCGATACATTGACCTTGTCAGTAAATAAAATCTATCAGTAAGTCAATTGCTGACTGACAATTTTCATACTAATTTTTAGGCCATTATTTACATACTGAATTGTATACAGTTTTTTCCGTTTTACCCGATCAATACAAGGAGCACATGGCGGGCGTGAGACCGGTCGGCAGGGGATGCTCACTCCTTCATGGCACCTAATCCCACTTCTGATGTTTTAGAGGTCCGTGTTTGTTCTGCTCCTGAATTGTATTGTTTAAATAGACTTTTAAGCTTGAATACTGTTCGTTATCTTCATATTTCATGCATATAACACCTTAAAGTGGTTGTGCCTTGGTACTTCTATAATAATTTCTATAACGTGAATGTACACGATGTAGCAATTTTATAATACGCACATATATAAGTTCAATTTAATACATATTTATTAAAAATTCGGCATTTATTGTATGTTTCAAAAAAACTGTGTTCAACCCTGTTCAGCAGAGCAATTATGAATGTTTCATATTTCAAGTACAAGTATCTCATAATGTACCGCAGCGGAGAAAAAGTATCAGATTACATAAATAAAGTACTTAGATTGGCCAAGAAAAAAATGTGAAGTGATCCAAATAATAACAGAAAGATCATATAAACCTGTTCGCCAAAAATATATATGATATACATTCATTATCGTATTGCTTACCAGGTTGACAATTTTGTCATGCACTGCATGTGTTTTAAGATTATTAGATTTATAAAAGCCCTATTTAATTAGCATGTGATCCTTTTGCAGTTGCTTTATTTACATCTATATGTACTTAGGTGCTAATTTTTGATATTTTTTTTTAAATATTGAGTATTTGTCTAGTTGATTCATTCAAAATAACAGACATGGGATTGACTGTTATACAAGTCAATTATCACCAAAATAATACCATGAATATAAATGTAAAAGCCACGAGCCTGTAAAGCTTGCATGTGTTATTTTAAAAGAATATTGAGAATACACAAACTAAGTGTCGTGTACAAGTACCATTGCTTCACTTGATTTTATTCATATGAACAGTATTGTAATCAAAACTGTCTATATCAAGATATCATTCAAACTGTTCATCAATAAAATTTTATTCATTTATTTTCAGAGTATATTTAACTCCCGATCATATATTTGTACCAAAATTATACAATTCATATGTCGTTAGGAATTGTGTAATAAATTAATTTCCATGCATGAATACGTTTGGTTGGTCGTGGTTGCTGCAGCGACAAGTCACGCCTCCAGAACCCGAGGGAGATGTCATAATACTGTCATCGCAATCTGCGCAGCATAAATAAATACCGCTAATCACGGTGTAAGTACCACAATGATGGCAATGTTCGTGACCCTGAAGACAATTTCCCGTGATTCCTGTTAAAAATGGAGGAAAATTATTCTTTATGTGGCATAGTTGTATATATATGTTCAATTCCCATACTAAGAATGAATGGCGCATATAGCTTTCAAGAAAGGAAAACAAATATCTGATTACCTGAATCTACAAGAAATCGCTTATTTCTCTTAGGAACTGATAAAACACACACGACGGACACAGAAATCAAAAGAAACCTTAACATGGTCTGGATACTTTCTAAAATGAAGAAGACCAGTTATTAAAAGAACAAATGTCTTTTTTAGTCGTCAATAGCAAAGACAGCAAAGTATTCCTAGATTATTTTGTAGATTACGTATATATAGACTATAATCTAAACAATATTTACTCTGTATACATTGTGTATTCTGACAGCATATACCGGTACTTTATGAATTCAGACGATTTAATTGCCTATAATCATATATTTATTCCAAAATTTATTTTTTATAGTAGGTTCTTGCAGAAATATTTATGAAGGAATTATTTTCCTTACCCTCTAGATAGCTCTCAAATCCTATACAAAGTACTGCATGAACCTGTATTATCTCTGTCCTCTGAAAACTTAATGTAAGTTCTCCATTTCATATTTATGAAATATCGTTAGACAAAAATTGCGTTTCTTCCTTCCAGTTACTTCTAAAAATCTTCCTCTTATTTTTTCCTCGATTAATTGTTTAATAAAACATTGTCTGTCTTGGCTTAGATTTCCAAAATTAGAAATATTACCCAAAATTGAAATGTGTTTGTAAATTTTGATTAATTTTAAAGTTTGACTTTTGTATCAATGCTATGTAGCCTTTCCTCTTTCGTTCGTTTATTCTATGGGTGCTTTAATGTCCCAACCTATACATAATTTCAGTGATCTTAAGATCCATATCTTTTTATCAACATACAATGCCGAGAGCATATAATATAGAAATTAATAAGACTTTGACAAATATTCAAGTTTTCAAATTCACGATCATTTAAGCTCACCTGAGCTGAAAGCTTAAGTGAGTTTTTCTGATCACCCGGTGTCCGGCATCCGTCTGTCTGTCTGTTTAGAGGTCTGTCTTTCCGTACGTGTGTAAACTTTTCACTTTTTCAACATCTTCTCAAGAACCACTGGGCCAATTTTTACTAAAATTGGTTTAAAGCAACCCTGGACAAAGGACATTCTAAATTCTTAAAATGAAGGGCCAGGCCTAATTCCAAGGGGACATAATCAAGAAAAGGCAAAAATAGGGTGGGGTCATTAAAAATCTTCTTCTCAAGAACTACTGGATCAGAAAAGCTGAAACTTATGTGGAAGCTTCCTGAGGTAGTTTAAATTCTAAATTGTTCAAATCATGGCCCCCGGGAATAGGGTAGGGCCACAATAGGGAATCAAAGTTTTACATTAAAATATATAGGAAAAAATTTTTAAAATCTTCTTCTCAAAAACCACTGTGCGGGAAAAGCTAAAATTAACATGGAAGGTGTCTTAGGTAATGTTAATTCTAAACTGTTCAAACCATAGCCAATAGGAGTGAAGTGGGGTCACAATAAGGAATTAAAGTTTAACATTGAAATATATGGGAAAAATCTTATAAAATCTTCTTATCAAGAACCACTGGGCCAGAAAAGCTGAAACTTATGTGGAAGCTTTCTTAGGTAGTGTAGATTCTAAATTGTTAAAATCATGATCGCCGGGATTAGGGTGGGGCCACAATAGGGAATCAAAGTTTTACATTAAAATATATAGGAAAAAATCTTATAAAATCTTCTCAAGAACCACTGGGCCAGAAAAGCTGAAACTTATGTGGAAGATTTCTTAGGTAGTGTAAATTCTAAATTATTCAAACCATAACCCTTGGGGGTAGGGTGGGGCATCAGTTTTACATTGAAATATATAGGAAAATCTTTTTAAAATCTTCTTCTCAAGTACCATTGGACCAGAAAATCTATAAATTACGTGGAAGCTTTCTGAGTTTGCGTAGATTCTAAATTGTTCAAATCATGCCCCCCGGGGTTATGCAACGAAATAATGCTTAATTTCATCTGTAGCGATCACTGAGTGATCTGTTCAAGGAGCGCATATTTAAAGATACCAGAAAGATTGATGATTGCATAGCTTTCTATAAGACCTCTGAGAGTTTCCTGGTGAACAATAGATTTGCGACCATTCCAAATCATTGAGAGATCTACAAACATTGCTGAGAGTTCTAAAGTGCGACCAATAGAGATCAATGTATTACCCAAAGAAACCACTAATAGATCTTTTACGTTAGGCGTTTAAAACATTAAATTTTTGTTATCTTTGAAAAACTTTTTGGAGATCATTGAGAGATCCAAGAAATCCTTTGGCGATCGTTTTGTGCTCTGTTGGTATTCTTTGAGATAGTAATTACATGTACCTTTTTGATTGTTCAGAGACTGTTCTGGGTCGAACCAAGACTTTGAAAAGACCATGGAGAATGTGGAAATCTCTTGAGAGATCATGAGGAAGACTTGGCAACCTTTGACAGATCATTAACGTTGAGATCGAGATCTAAACAATTTCTCTTTGTAAAAGGGGGCTCAAGGTAAATAGTCTCTCAAAGAACACAATCAGATCCTCATTCGATCTCTTGGATTCCCCAATGACGTCTCTGAGCTAGTTTCTTGAAGAACGAAAGATGTTTTGTATGGAAGCCGGTTGGTGCCAGGTAGAAAAAATATTTTATCTGGCGGCCACCACATAAATAACTGGCGGCCGCCAAATAATTTTTTCTGGGGGCCGCCAGTTATTTATGTGGCGGCCGCCAGATAAATATTTGGCGGCCGTCTTATAATTTTCTGGCTGCCGCCAGATAAATAGACCTGGCGACCGCCAGAAGGTTAACTGGCGGCCGTCAAATAATTTTCTGGCGGCCGCCAGATAAGTTTCTGGCGACCGCCAGTTATCTATATGGCGGCTGCCAGATAAAATATTTTTCTACCTGGCACCTACCGGCTTCCGTAGTTTTGAACTCCAAAGACAGGAATGTCTGAGTGATTTTGGGAGATCGCAGAAAAATCAGCCAAGAGTACTGGACACTGAATCGAAGATTTATGCGAGATCATTGGAAGATCTTGAAGACTGGTGAGAGATCTAGCAGTGACTGACTAGGCAATATCCTCAGCTTTTCATCGCACAACAAGCGCATTAGAACCATATTAAACATTTAACAAAAAACGAATTTTTCGAGGCTTTTAAAGATCACTGGAAAATCTCTATGTGTGTGAAGGGGCCAAACTGGTGTGCTTCTCAGCTGTTTATGTTTTGACTAATGGTAAAACACGACATTTACATTTGTGCCCTCATAGATGTAAACATGAAATGTAAACATAATCTGTAAAATAAACTTGTATCTTTTGAGCGGAAATAAGTGTTTAAAATAGCAACCGCTCTCTTTTTTGGGGGGGGGGGGCTCATTTGTTTTCTAACAGACTAATAATACAACAAAATTACAACAACATTGATTATTATTCATCAACACGAAAGGGTTGACATGGATTTATTTTTCATACAACTGGTACTGTGCAGGAGCAATGAGCGCCGCCATCGTTGATTTGTATGGACACTCCCCCGTGACAACTGTGACAACAAAATTTGGCACTACCTAACTGAACTCCCGAACATCCATTACATTGGTCTCCACTGGCGCAGTTACCAGTCATTCCTAAAAGTATATACAATGAATTAATTTTTAGTTATATGTTCGATGCAGTTGTCTTTGCACACAAAATGGCTATTTTTCAATCACTTTAATATAAATTTTCCCGATAGAATTACAAAATAAATCAACCTTTCATGAAATAAATTACCATCATCATGAGAACTGTGAGAGGAATAACTCTTAGATATAATTGTTATAACCGAATAAAGCAAGTTTCAATTTTAGAGTAATCTCTCTTATCAGAAAGACTTCGTAAAGTACATGTATTTCATATCTCGTTAGGACAGTTAAGAGACGTATACGTCATTGGGTAGTTTGATCTCTTCTTTAAATCTAAGTATTTTTAATATACCGGTACATGTATATACAATATTTCGATGAAATAAAAGTATTGTCACTCGTTTTTAAACTTGATAAATACATCACTTATCAAATTCATTTGAAATACTCGTACATGTATATTGAAAAGGACGTTAAAGAAGCGTCCAGAAGACTCTGGAGAATTCTTATAATTAAAAATGGCAGAAAATGTTTTCAGTCAATGTATTTTCTGCTATCGTTTATTTATCAACTTATATTCATTCTAGTTCAAATGTTTTCGTTTTATAAAGAATGTTTTTGTTCTTGTCTAATGCACATAAAAAATCACACATTTTTTTTTTTAAATTGGATATGTATTTTTTTTAATAATAGTAAACTTTGAGTCATTTTTGTAATATGTATACTAGTACCTTGTTCTAGGAGCCGTCTGTCAGGAGCGGAAAACACTGTAACCGTTATGGATAATAGCAAAAGGAATCTCAACATCTTAGAAGACGATCTGTAACACAATAGAATCATATAATAATGCGGGTTACAACAACTACATGTATAAGTTACCATATCGAGTATACAAGGTCCCTTACCATGTACTTGTAGCTATAAAGTATAATGATAATACAAGCCAGTGAAATGGAGAATTTATATGGTCTAGTATTTAGATAACCCCACCAACACAGGTTGCAGTTTTTTTGGTTCGTAAATAAGGTTCAGTTAGTTTATTTTCTAGTCTCATTTCTGAATAATATTTCACAATATTAAAATCCAGAGCTATGTACATGTATATCAATACAAAGTTAAAAAAAACAAAAACAAAAACATGCATTTCGAAATAGGTACATGCTATTTACGGCTCTTGATAAGATCTATCAATTAATTCTAACTCTTGAAAAGTATACAATGAGACTCTAACTTTAGAGCATTCGTAGGCTCTTAAATGTTGTGAAGAAGGTTAAGAACGTGAGTTGACACTTCAGAGCCATTTATTTTAAATAGCTTATGAATTTTATATTTACTTCTACCCAGTAAATTCAAACTTTACAACGTGATAAAATGTTGAAAATTTTAAGATTTTGCTTCTTTTTCAAAAGGAGTACGGGTTGCTTCAAAATTCTCGAATCTCCTGCATATTGAGATTTTTCCGGGGCTCTGATTGTTGACCTATGAACCCAAATCAGTTCAACCTCCTTATCCAAGGTTTTCAAGGTGCTTATGGACTTCAATAGTATCAGTTTTATTATCAATCGTTAAGATCGATCACAGGCACTTGGGGTCTGGACACCCACCCACCCACCCCCCCTTTTCCATTTTTTTTTTCTTTTTAAATATGGGGTCGAGTCACCTTTTTCCTATATTTGTGTTCTAATAGGCCCTATGCACTACATGTTATCGATAATGTAACCCTTTTGTCTCTATAAGCTGTTTTTAAATATCTCGTTTTCGACTGATACATAACTTTTTATGTATCAGTCGAAAACGAGATATTTAAAAACAGCTTATAGAGACAAAAGGGTTACATTATCGATAACATGTAGTGCATATTAGAACACAAATATAGGAAAAAGGTGACTCGACCCCACATTTAAAAAGAAAAAAAAATGGAAAAGGGAGGGGGGTGTCCAGACCCCAAGTGCCTGTGAGATCGATAATAGAAAAATTTTTATTTCCTTTCATATTTTATGGCTACAAAATTATCCTTTGATCAATTGGTTGGTTGGTTCCCTATCTTTTCCCCAAAACTATATACTAAAACAAATTGAATTAGAATGAATAAAATTCCTCAGGTAAACAAAACCACTACAACAATAAATTTAAAAAAAAAATCCCACCTTTGTCAAACGAAACAAAGTTTCACCCATTATGTTTCATCACTTCCGTTCAATGATTCTTTTTCGGTTCTCCTATTATCAACTGTGTTTCAACACCCGCGCAATGGTTCTGATCATAACATGTCATGAAACAACTGCTTCCGATTGACTTCTTATACCTCGGACGATTCTAATTAGTTGCTTTCTCCAAGTTCAGGCCTATGATGGCACAGAATGCAGGTACAGTATATGTTTGTAAACATCTACGATTAATATTTTATTCTTTGAAATTTTGACAGATCATCGAGGTATATTACCAAGGACGTACATTTACGTAAACTAGCGGGATAGGCAACTTCTTCAGCGCCATGTTTATTTCACCAAAACACACAAGCCCATGTTTGTATATTGAGAGAAGCAGGTCCCATAACCAGCAGCCTAGTGTCTCTTAATAAGTAAAAAAAAAAAAAAAAAAACTGAAAGTTTGAGAAACAGGTTACTAACGAACACCTATATTCTATAATATATGCAAGAGAACATCTAGAACGATTCTGATTGGCTGCTTACACTAGTACTTAGGCCGACTCTAATTGACTGCTTTGCCGGGAACTTCATTTCCAAGTTCATGTCTATGATGGCACAAAATGCAGGAACAATGTATGATTGAAAACATTTACGAATATTTTTTTTTTATTCTTTGAACTTTTCCCTTGTAAATTTCATTTCAACAAATCATCGTAGGTATACATGTACCTATTACATGCACAAGGTACGTACTCGAATACTAACGGGATAGGCAGCTTTTTCAGTGCCATGTTTATTTTACCAAAACAACATTATATTATGGGAGAAACAGGTCCCTGTGCGAGTTTAAGTTACCATTTTTTCGCAAACTCTCTTTCCTTTTTATTTTCAAGAGAAACTTGGCAACTCGCACTGGTTCTGGAAACTATATACAATGTACATGTAACTAGTAGACTTTAACTGTTTAAGAGAGCCACAGATTTTCCGTGAGAAGAAATAAAGAACGAAATATTCATACAATTTTTTTTATTTTATTTTGTTAAATCAGTGAGTATATGTCAGCATCGACAATCTATACCGTCTACAGTGATGTCAATTTTCATACCACCATAACAGTTATAACAACAGAAGCTGTGACCAATAATACTAGCGCTGTGACAGTGTGTACAGTCGGCGTCATGGTAACAATTTCCTGTAATTGCTGAAATGAATAATTGTTATCTTAGTTTTAAAATATTTGTATAGTGACATACTCAATTTGAAATTTGCAAACATTGCAAATTGGCGAAATTCAACTGCATTAGTGACTTATTGATGGTTTTTTAATGTTCATCGTCAATGTAAACTGAATGTACCCACCACATATATTCAATACGAAACACTTTAACCTGCATGATTCTTTGGAGTCTTTTTATATCCAGCCTGAAAAAATCTCTGAATGCTATATACACAAAAAAATATTTTAGAAAAAACGTACCTTGATCCATAATAAATTTTTTTTGTGGAGCTGACAATACAATCACTACATGTAGCACAGTGAGCAGTAAAAGGGTTCTCAGCATTGCTGATAGACAAGGTGGATCAGCTACTTCAATTCTTCTTCATCGGCCAATATGAAAGATGCAATGTATATATAGTACAAATGAATTTACCCAGTATTTTAAACAAAATGTTTGCAAAACAACTTTTTACAGGACAAAAAGCCCATGTTTGATGATGATCGAAAGTTTTCAAAAACTTTAACATGATTACATGTATATAATGTAACTAATACACAATTAGTAAAGATTTTGGTTGAATTAAACCAAGAATATTTTTTGCAGCTGATTGATGTAGAAAGGAAAAAAACTTGAATACTTTTGTTTTGATTATAATGTAGTTTATAATTCATAAAATTGACCAGGTTAGAAATAAGTTAATAGCTAATGTCTTACCTGCAGAAAAGCTAGTTTTAAGTAAATTATTACGTGACAAGATGTAGCTTTTATACAATACTTATAGATAACCTCCACCAACACTTGTTGTTCTTACATAACAAATGCACGTAATGTAAAAACCGTCCAATCCAATCCATCTTTGATCACCTTATAATTGGTTATGTCGAAGCTATATTCAAGTTTTATTTTGAAATAAAGTCTATGAAAACAAATAATGGGATGATACATTAATTTACGGTTGTTATAATTTGGCAACAATGACATACTCCTTTACGACTGGTAGTTCACATCGTTTGATAAAGAGAGAGAGCACAGAAATTTCATATTGAATTCACCGAAAACATCAAAAGACTATATTTGTATAACTTCACTCATCTGGTGATTCAATAAGGACCCATAATTCGTGCAGGAAAATGGTAGTTCAGCTCATACATTGTCTGTAAGCAAAAATGATAATGATACTTTATAATTTTAACACCTAGGGATCCCAAACACTTGTTGACATGAATATCATATAATCGTGATAGAAGGTACATTTGTCATTATGACCAAATTATCAGTTTATCCGTTCTTGAGGTGTTTGGGATAAAGAAAAAAATGTACAGACAATTTTGTGTATCTATGTTAAAATTGTTAATATAACACGTCTATTACGTACATTCAGGCGTATTTCAAACGAAATGTCAGTTGAAGTGCAGGCCGTCACCGGTTCGAGATTTACACGTTTTTCAGAATCAAAACATGAAGGCTTGCGAAGAGAAGTGGATGTAGGCAAAAGCCTGTCCACTTCTCTAAAGAGAATAATGTACTACATTGTATAAGCATTTTCTTGTTTTGTTTGTTTGGTTTGATTTGGATTTTTTTTTTGGGGGGGGGGGTAAACATACATTTTAAACACACGTTATTATGTTAATAATTATAAATGTACACTTGGGAAACATGTTGTAATACGTTGTAGTTTTACCCATGTACCCTTACCTTCGTAAACCTCAATACTGCGTAACCACATGCAAGATAAATTGATGACTGTAGAATAAGTATTCTGTAGACTACAAATACATGTATAATGATTTGTTTTATTACATCTCTATATAAAAATCATTAAAATGGCTCTACTGTGGTACTTTGGCCTTGAAAAAATCAAATCAACATAATTATGTATTGAAACGTTTTTGACTTTTTCTTACCCTTGATTCTAAGGTGATTTTCAGTTCGTTTTGTTTGTATGTTTGATTTTGTTTTGTTTTATATCTTAAACGACCAAACATTTTTGTTATTTATCCCTCCATGGCTAAGAGTTATTGCCACTAATTAAACCTCTTTAAAAAATTGATACCTTCATTTGAAGATGCTATGTAGCAATTTCAGTTGAAATTGGCCTAGTTTCACTATATTTGTACTGAAAGTCTGAAATGCGTAAAAGTAAACTGAGACAGATAGCACAGGACAAAGTGATCATAAAATTTTATGAAACCTTTAAAACAGAATACCTAAAGTATTTATAAGTTCATGCTGATCAGTCATCGATGATAATCTTTTTTGGTTTCAATAAACAAAATATTTTAATATCACAGTTGATATTCAATAACTTAGTTTTATGGCTAACAATAATGCGCTTAAGTTATGTCTCTAAATGTGTTCTCTTTTTTATCTGGGTAAATTGGTGAATTGGTTCTGTTGATTATAAATGTAGCCTACACTGTGTATGCAAGGATAAATTCGGCATTTGTTGG